TTTTAGTGTTTTTAGCGTTTTAAGGGAGTAATTTTCGATCGATTTGGCTGAAATTTTGCATGGGAGTCCCTCAGATGAACACATTTCGATCGCCTATCAGCATGTTTGGCTGCGCCTAAAATTTGTCCCGGAAAATCCAGGATAACGGGAGAATTTGGCCAAAAATGGACTTGGCCATAACATAAAAAGTTACATAGGAATAATTTTTTTGATGTTTCCAGAGGATGTAGGGCTACGCCACGAATCGATAGCCACCATCCGTGTGTCTCTAAGAAATTATTTGTAGAAGTTACGGGCATGCGCTCGCCGAGCCCCAATTGGGCAATCGGGAGAAATTAACGTGCGATTCCCACAATGTGTATATCGTTAAATAGCATTTCACGCCACTAGTTAAACCCCTTAAAAGAATTGGTCTAGCAAATTTATTTCCGTAGATATAAGCAAGTATGCGTTTAAGTCACAAATACACGCTCTGGGCGCTCTCCGAGCTTTTTTTAGTGTTTTTAGCGTTTTAAGGGAGTAATTTTCGATCGATTTGGCTGAAATTTTGCATGGGAGTCCCTCAGATGAACACATTTCGATCGCCTATCAGCATGTTTGGCTGCGCCTAAAATTTGTCCCGGAAAATCCAGGATAACGGGAGAATTTGGCCAAAAATGGACTTGGCCATAACATAAAAAGTTACATAGGAATAATTTTTTTGATGTTTCCAGAGGATGTAGGGCTACGCCACGAATCGATAGCCACCATCCGTGTGTCTCTAAGAAATTATTTGTAGAAGTTACGGGCATGCGCTCGCCGAGCCCCAATTGGGCATTCGCCGATATACCCGGGTACCAAATCGGGAGAAATTAACGTGCGATTCCCACAATGTGTATATCGTTAAATAGCATTTCACGCCACTAGTTAAACCCCTTAAAAGAATTGGTCTAGCAAATTTATTTCCGTAGATATAAGCAAGTATGCGTTTAAGTCACAAATACACGCTCTGGGCGCTCTCCGAGCTTTTTTTAGTGTTTTTAGCGTTTTAAGGGAGTAATTTTCGATCGATTTGGCTGAAATTTTGCATGGGAGTCCCTCAGATGAACACATTTCGATCGCCTATCAGCATGTTTGGCTGCGCCTAAAATTTGTCCCGGAAAATCCAGGATAACGGGAGAATTTGGCCAAAAATGGACTTGGCCATAACATAAAAAGTTACATAGGAATAATTTTTTTGATGTTTCCAGAGGATGTAGGGCTACGCCACGAATCGATAGCCACCATCCGTGTGTCTCTAAGAAATTATTTGTAGAAGTTACGGGCATGCGCTCGCCGAGCCCCAATTGGGCATTCGCCGATATACCCGGGTACCAAATCGGGAGAAATTAACGTGCGATTCCCACAATGTGTATATCGTTAAATAGCATTTCACGCCACTAGTTAAACCCCTTAAAAGAATTGGTCTAGCAAATTTATTTCCGTAGATATAAGCAAGTATGCGTTTAAGTCACAAATACACGCTCTGGGCGCTCTCCGAGCTTTTTTTAGTGTTTTTAGCGTTTTAAGGGAGTAATTTTCGATCGATTTGGCTGAAATTTTGCATGGGAGTCCCTCAGATGAACACATTTCGATCGCCTATCAGCATGTTTGGCTGCGCCTAAAATTTGTCCCGGAAAATCCAGGATAACGGGAGAATTTGGCCAAAAATGGACTTGGCCATAACATAAAAAGTTACATAGGAATAATTTTTTTGATGTTTCCAGAGGATGTAGGGCTACGCCACGAATCGATAGCCACCATCCGTGTGTCTCTAAGAAATTATTTGTAGAAGTTACGGGCATGCGCTCGCCGAGCCCCAATTGGGCATTCGCCGATATACCCGGGTACCAAATCGGGAGAAATTAACGTGCGATTCCCACAATGTGTATATCGTTAAATAGCATTTCACGCCACTAGTTAAACCCCTTAAAAGAATTGGTCTAGCAAATTTATTTCCGTAGATATAAGCAAGTATGCGTTTAAGTCACAAATACACGCTCTGGGCGCTCTCCGAGCTTTTTTTAGTGTTTTTAGCGTGTGTCTCTAAGAAATTATTTGTAGAAGTTACGGGCATGCGCTCGCCGAGTCCCGATTGGGCATTCGCCGATATACCCGGGTACCATATCGGGAGAAATTAACGTGCGAGGCCCACAATGTGTATGTCGTTAAATAGCATTTCACGCCACTAGTTAAAATTGGCCTAGCAAATTTATTTCCATAGATATGGGCAAGTATGCGTTTAAGTCACAAATACACGCTCTGGGCCTCGAGCTGTTTTTTAGCGATTTTAATTTAAGGGAGTAATTTTCGATCGATTTGGCTGCAATTTTGCATGGGAGTCCCTCAGATGAACACATTTGATCGCCTATCAGCATTTTTGGCTGCGCCTAAAATTTGTCCCGGAAAATCCAGGATAAGGGGAGAATTTGGCCAAAAATCGACTTGGCCATAACATAAAAGTTACATAGGAATAATTTTTTGATGTTTCCAGAGGATGTAGGGCTACGCCACGAATCGATCGCCACCATCCGCGTGTGTCTCTAAGAAATTATTTGTAGAAGTTACGGGCATGCGCTCGCCGAGCCCCGATTGGGCATTCGCCGATATACCCGGGTACCATATCGGGAAATTAACGTGCGATTCCACAATGTGTATGTCGTTAAAAGCATTTCACGCCACTACGTGCGAGGCAATGTGTATGTCGTTAAATTTTTTTCCAATATCTCTGTGTCCCACACTGGCGTGAACCCGCGGCCTTCACGCCACTAGTTAAACCCCTTAAAAAAATTGGCCTAGCAAATTTATTTCCATAGATATAAGCAAGTATGCGTTTAAGTCACAAATACACGCTCTGGGCGCTCTCCGAGCTTTTTTTAGCTATTTAGCGTTTTAAGGGAGTAATTTTCGATCGATTTGGCTGAAATTTTGCATGGGAGTCCCTCAGATGAAACACATTTCGATCGCCTATCAGCATTTTTGGCTGCGCCTAAAATTTGTCCCGGAAAATCCAGGATAAAGGGGAGAATTTGGCCAAAAATCGACTTGGCCATAACATAAAAAGTTACATAGGAATAATTTTTTTGATGTTTCCAGAGGATGTAGGGCTACGCCACGAATCATAGCCACCATCCGCGTGTCTCTAAGAAATTATTTGTAGAAGTTACGGGCATGCGCTCGCCGGATAATGGGCATTCGCCGATCGAGGGAGGCCCGGCCATTTACCACGCCACTAAAAAGTTACATAGGAATAATTTTGCGAGGCCGCAAATGTATATCGTTAAATATATTTCACGCCACAGTTTGGTTTAAATTCTTTTATCTAACAAATTTATTTCCGTAGAAGTTATGCGTTTGAGCTAATGCGCTCTGGGCGCAACCGAGCTTTTTTTAGCAGATTTCGTTTAAATATTTTCGAGTCCATTTGGCTGAAATTTTGCAGTTCCACAGATGACAAAACAATGTGTTGTCGTCCTAGCGTTTCACGCGGCTCTCATTTTTGAAACGAAAATCAAAAATGGACCCCTAAAAAAAGCCACCTACGCAAATTTGTACTATATATATATTTGAGCCAGTTTGGTTTTTGTAATTCTTTTTATAAAACAAAAGTTTTCGACAGCATGTTGAGCTAATTTTCAACAATCGAATTTAGCAGATTTCGTTTAAATAAAGAATCGTCAAATTTTTCCATCATCTCAGTTCCACACTGACAAAACAACAGTGGGCTCCTCCGGGATTTGAACCCGGGGCCCTCTCGCACCCGAAATCGAAAATCATACCGCCTAAACCTCTCGAGCCACACGCCTCCGAGTTGTACTATTTATATTTGAGCCAAGTTTGGTTTTGTAATTCTTTTTATAAAACAAAAGTTTTCGAAATGCAGATTTTCGCTAATTTTCCCGATTTAGCAGCTTTTCGTTTAAATAAACCCGAGTCGTCATAATTTTCCATCATCTCAGTTCCACACAGAAAACAAGCAGTGGGCTCGGCCGGGTTGAACCGGGACCTCTCGCACCCGAAGCGAGTCATACCCCTAGACCATTGGCCGAGCAAGCTTGGGATGTAATTTATATATTTGAGCCAGTTTGGTTTTGTAATTCTTTTTTATAAAACAAAAAGATTTCGAAAGTGCAGATGTTGAGCTAATTTCCAATCGAATTTAGCAGATTTCGTTTAAATACACGAGTCGTCATAATTTTCCATATCTCAGTTCCACAAAGACAAAATAAACAAACAGTGGGCTCGGCCGGGATTTGAACCCGGGACCTCTCGCACCCGAAGCGAAGAATCATACCCCTACACCACCGAGCCACACGTTTGAGTTGTAATATATATTTCAGAAGTTTGGTTTTGTAATTCTTTTTATAAAACAAAAGATTTCGAAAAGTGTAGATTTTCAGCTAATTTCCAACAATCGAATTTAGCAGATTTTGTTTAAATATAAGAACGTCATATTTTTAATCATCTCAGTTCCACACTGACAAAACAAACAGTCGGCTCGGCCGGGATTTGAACCCGGGACCTCTCGCACCCGAAGCGAGAATCATACGCCCTAGACCACCGAGCCACAAGCCTCAGTTGTACTATATATATTTGAGCCAGTTTGGTTTTGTAATTCTTTTTATAAAACAAAAAAGATTTCGAAAGGGTGCAGATGTTGAGCTAATTTTCCAACAATCGAATTTAGCAGATTTCGTTTAAATATAAGAGTCGTCATAATTTTTCCATCATCTCAGTTCCACACAGACAAAACAAACAAGTGGGCTCGGCCGGGATTTGAACCCGGGACCTCTCGCACCCGAAGCAAGAATCATACCCCTACACCAGAGCCACACGCCTGAGTTTATATATATTTCAGCAAGTTTGGTTTTGTAATTCTTTTTTATAAAACAAAAGATTTCGAAAGTGCAGATTTTTAGCTAATTTCAACAATCGAATTTAGCAGATTTCGTTTTAAATATAAGAGTCGTCATAATTTTTCCATCATCTCAGTTCCACATTGACAAACAAACAGTGCGCTCGGCCCGGGATTTGAACCCGGGACCTCTCGCACCCGAAGCGAGAATCATACCCCTAGACCAACCGAGCCACACGCCGGAGTTGTAATTTATATATTTGAGCCAATTTGGTTTTGTAATTCTTTTTTATAAAACAAAAGATTTCGAAAGTGCAGATTTTAGCTCATTTCCAACAATCGAATTTAGCAGATTTCGTTTAAATACACGAGTCGTCATATTTTTTTCGCTCATCTCAGTTCCACAGACCAAACAAACCGTGCGCTCGGCCGGGATTTGAACCGGGACCTCTCGCACCCGAAGCGAGAATAATACCCCTGACCACCGAGCCACACGCCGGGTAGAAATATATATATTTCAGAAAAGTTTGGTTTTGTAATTCTTTTTATAAAACAAAAGATTTCGAAAGTGCAGATTTGAGCTCATTTCCAACAATCGAATTTAGCAGATTTTCGTTTAAATATACGAGTCGTCATATTTTTTCCAATATCTCAATTCCACATTGACAAAATAAAACAGTGGGTCCTCGGCGGTTGAACCGGGACCTCTCGCACCCGGAAGCAAGAATCATACCCCTAGACCACTGAGCCACACGCATGAGTTGTAATATATATATTTCAGCAAGTTTGATTTTGTAATTCTTTTTATAAAACAAAATATCTCGAAAAGTGTAGATTTTGAGCTAATTTCAGCAATCGAATTTTTATCAGATTTTCGTTTTAAATATACCAGTCGTCATATTTTTTCAAATATCTCAGTTCCACACTGACAAAAACAAACAGTGGGCTCTCGGCCAGATTTGAACCTCGCGACCTCTTCGCACCCGAAGCTAGAATCTCATACCCCTACACTACGAGCTTGAGAGATGTAATACATATATTTCAGCAAGTTTTGGTTTTGTAATTCTTTTTATAAAACAAACGTTTCCCAAAGTGTAGATTTTGAGCTAATTTCCAGCAATCCAATTTATACAGATTTCCCGTTTAAATATAAGAGTCGTCATAGTTTCGATCATCTCAGTTCCACACTGACAAACAAACATTGGGCTCGACCGGACTTGAACTCGGGATCTCGCCCGCGAAGCGAGAATCATACCCTCTAGACCGCCAACCGGTACGCCTGAGTTGTAATATATATATTTGAGTAAGTTTGGTTTTTTGTAATTTTATAAACAAAAGTTTTCGAAAGTGTAGATTTTGAGCTAATTTCCAACAATCTAAATTAGCAGATTTCGTTTAAATATAAGAGTCGGCATAGTTTTTCCATCATCTCAGTTCCACACCGACAAAACCAACAGCGGGCTCGGCCGGGGATTTGAACCCGGGACCTCGCACCCGAAGCTGAAGAATCATACCCCTAGACCACCGAGCCACACATGACTTGTAATATATATATTTTCAACAAGTTTTGTGTTGTAATTCTTTTTATAAAACAAAATATTTCGAAAGTGTAGATTTTGAGCTAATTTTCAAGATTCTAACTTAGCAGATTTCGTTTTAAGAATACGAATATAAACTCGCCATAGTTTTTCATCATCTGCAGATTTTAGTTCCAGCAGCTTCGTTTAAATATAAGAGTCGTCATACTTTTCCCCATCATCTGACAAAACAAACAGTGGGCTCCGCCGGGATTTGAACACAGGACCTCTCGCACCCGAAGCAAGAATCATGCCCCTAGACCACCGAGCCGCACGTCTGAATGGTAGTATATATATTTGAGCAAGTTTGGTTTTGTAATTCTTTTTAAATCAAACGATTTCGAAAGTGTAGATTTTGAGCTAATTTCCAACAATCTAAATTAGCAGATTTCGTTTAAATATAAAGAGTCGTCATAGTTTTCTATCATCTCAGATTCACACCCTGACAAAACAAACAGGGGCTCGGCCGGGATTTGAACACTTGACCTCTTGCACCTGAAGCAAAGAATCATACCCCTAAACCCCCGAGCCACACACGCCTGTGTGGTAGTATACATATTTGAGCAAGTTTGCTTTTGTAATTCTTTTATGAAACGATTTCGAAAGTGTAGATTTTCAGCTAATTTCCAACAATCTAAATTAGAAGATTTCGTTTAAATATAAAGTCGTCATAGTTTTTCCATCATCTCAGTACCACACAAACAAAAAACAAACAGCGGGCACGGCCGGGATTTGAACCCGGTTACTTCTCGCACCGAAGCGAGAATCATACCCCTAGACCACCGAGCCACACGCATGAGTTGGAATATATATATTTGACCAAGATTGGTTTTGAAATTCTTTTAAAAAACAAAAGATTTCGAAAGTGTAGATTTGAGCTAATTTCTAAAAATCTAAATTAGCAGATTTTCGTTTAAATATAAGAGTCGTCATATTTTTTAATCATCTCAGTTCCAAACTGACAAAACAAACAGTGGGCACTTCCGGGATTTGAACCTGGGACCTCTCGCACCCGAAGCGAGAATCATACCCCTAGACCACCGAGACACAAGCCCTAAATTTTAATATACATATATATTAGCAAATTTGGTTTTGTAATTCTTTTATAAAACAAAAGACTTCGAAAGTGTAGATTTTTAGCTAATTTCCAACAATCGAATTTAGCCGATTTCGTTTAAAGTAAATAAGCATCGTCACAGTTTTTCCATCATCTCAGTTCCACTGACAAAACAAACAGGGGGCTCGGCTGAGTTTTGAACCCGGGCGTCCGGCACCCGAAGCAAGAATCACACCCTAGACCACCGAACCACACGCTTGAGTTGTAATATATATATTTCAGCAAGTTTGGTTTTGCAATTCTTTTACAAAACAAAAGATTCCGAAAGTGCAGATTTTGAGCTAATTTCCAACAATATAAATTAGCAGATTTCGTTTTAAATATAAGCGTCGTCATAGTTTTCCATCATCTCAGTTCCTTTTGGAGAAAACAAGCAGTGGGCTCGGTCGTTATTTGAAACCGGTTACTTCTCGCACCCGAAGCGGGAATGCAGCCCCTTGACCACCGAGCACACACATGAGTTGGAATATATGTATTTGACCAAGTATGGTTTGTAATTCTTTTTACAAAACAAAAGATTTCGAAAGTGTAGATTTGTGCTAATTTCCAAAAATCTAACTTAGCAGATTTCGTTTAAATATAAAAGTGGTCATAGTTTTCCATCATCTTAGTCCCCACACTGACAAAAACAAACAGCAGGCTCGGCCGGGATTTGAACCCGGGACCTCTCACCCGAACTAGAAATATACCCCTAGCCCAATGAGACACACGCATGAATTGGAAATATACATGTTGAGCAAGTTTGGTTTTGTAATTCTTTTTTATAATACATAATATTTCGAAATTGTAGATTTTGAGCTAATTTCCAACAATCGAAGTTAGCAGATTTTCGCTTAAAGTAAATATAAGTAGATTTCGTTTAAATATAAGAGTCGTCATAGTTTTCCATCATCTCAGTTCCACACGGACGAAACAAACAGTCGGTTCGGTCGTGAGATTTGAACCCTTAACCTCTCGCACCAGAAGCTAGAATCATACCCTAGACAACCGAGACACACGCCTAAATTGTAATATATTTCACGCCA